AGTTTATGTTTAAGTTGATTATCGATAAAACACGAATAAAATGACATTTTCTAAAAATGATTCCTAGCTAGATCGATTTATCGCCCCCGAAACCCCCTATATACTAAATTTTATAATATGAAAATCGTTGGAGCCGATTCCAAGATTCCGGCGGATCCAAGCGTCGGTAGTTCAGGGGTCAAGCACTTGACTTGCAAACTGCAGGTCCTGGGTTCGAATCCCGCCATGTACCAATGTGTTTTTCGATTTCCGATTTACATATAAACATTTATTCGACGTTCTTACGGTGAAGGAAAACATCAGCATCAGCAACCTGCATATATCTGAGAAGAAATTCAAAGATATGTGTGAAGTCAACCAACCCGCACTTGTCCAGCGTGGTTGACTATGGCCTTATAACCCTTAACTTAGGGTAGGCTCCGAGCCCCTCGGTGGGGACGTATAGTGAGCTGATGATGATGATGATATACAAGAATTGCTCATTTAAAGATATAAGATAATATTATAGTACTCACACAAAGTTTAGAATCCATAGTTTTATATGCTTTAGTTTTTTTCAAATATGCCTTTTCAATTGGCATTTCCATCTTTCTAAAAGGTTCATTTGTCGTATCTTTATAAAAATCTATATAATCAACCGGATAATCACTTGTATTTGTTCTATCATCGTAATAATCGTCTATTTCATAACCAGTTGTATTACGAACCTTACTTTCTTGTTTCGGTTTATATCTGTTTTGTTTTGGTCTTTTATGTTCGTTTGTATGTTTAACAAGACTCTGTATACTGGTAACTGCTTCTATATCTTTCTTATAATCGTAACTTTCTGTTGCTATTTCAGATACATGAATCGTAACCCTATTTGATAAATCCTTTCTCATATGTCCTGCAGCAAAATGATCTTCAACTTCCAAATTGAATAAAGTCAATAATTGTCTTATAAAATTGTTTATATTATTCGATGATATTTCTATCGTTTTTGTTAATGTTTTCGGCGCTTTATTTTCGTTGTGTTTCGTTTCTTTAACAACGATATCGAATTTATGATAACTCGCGATGAATTCTTTTAAAAAATCACTCAAACACTTATAATGTTCGCGACATTCGTTCTGCATTGCATTTGAACGAAGTAAAACACAAGAAATAATAACAAAACTTAATAATTTCATATTAACAGACAAACAAACTTATAAATTATAATTTAAATAAATTTAATATAATTTAAGACGAATCACGTACGCTGTACACATTTGACTGAGTAGATCGTTCCATTACGATCAAGCAACACATAATGTTTAGTAAAAACACAATTACGTTCATTGAATGCTTTGCATTCGTATAAAACTAAAGTATACATGATGATATCATTATAATTGTTCTTATAAACGTTACCTTGAAAGTTCGTGATGTAGATTTATAACTAGTAATCGCCCGCGACTTCGTTAGCGCAGAAAAATTGCCTATAACATACCCGTGTACATCATCTACCTTTATACCAAAGACTCGTCAAAATCTACCAGTTCCGGAGATTACCCTGAACAAACATACAGACAGACAGAACATTTTAAAAATTGTTTTATAGTTATAAATGAATAAAATATGATTTTTTTTCTCTATATTACAGACAGACAATTCAATTTTATTTATATATATATAGGTTCGCAACAAAAAACGTGCTCATAACTTTTATATGAATGTACATAACGAGAAAAATATGTTATATTGTCGAGAGAAACAATATAATCTGCATATTTATATATTAACAATGTATTTAAACATATTATATGATAAATTATTTAAAGAATTTTTTTTTATATCATAAGGTAGCAAACGAGCGAGCTGCCACTTGAAATCGCTGAAATAGCGAGGTGACCGTTGCCCATAGACATACCCAATTGCATATGCGTTGCCTACCTTTAATCAACGGAGGAGAGGATGCACAGAAAGAAAATATTTTCCCTTCCCATGTATCCTCTCATCCGGAAAGTCCACTTCCACTTCCCATCCTTTCTTTATAAGAAAAAGGGTGGGAAGGGAAAGAGGAATAAATTAGGCCACCGGGACGCACACTCATCAGACGAAACGCGGAATTGCTTTCACTTTACGCCTGTCTTCTGTGTGGTTTTTTATATTTTATCATTATCAACCTGCCCTTATCCCTATCGAGGGTCGGCACAGCATGTACTACTCCTCCATACATCTCTATCAGCCGTCATATCCGAGTCTACCCCCTTCCTACGCATATCCTCTTTCACACAGTCATTCCATACTTTTTTTGGTCTTCCTCTACCCTTGTAGACATCCACATTCAATCTCATTACTTTTTTGCTTATATCATCATCCCTCCTCATAACATGTCCAAACCACGCTAATCTTTTACTCCTCAATTTCTCTATCACTGGCGCTACTTTCAAACTTCCTCTAATATACACCTTTTTAACTTTATCCTTCCTTGACACACCACACATCCATATATATATATATATTTTATAGTTTTAAAGATTAAATTGATAGTAAAATATTCCTTGGTGTAACAATTATCAGCTCAATATACGTCCCCATTGAGGAGCTCGTAGCCTACCCTAAGTTAGGTGACTAGACCATAGTCAATGCACTCGCAGTGCGGGTTGACTTCACACATATTAAATTTCTTCACAGATATGTGCATCACGATGTTTTCCTTCACCGTAACAACATAGAATAAATGTACATAAAAATGGTGTATTAATATTAATTATAAATTATTTAATTAAATTTTAATTGATAAATATTTAATATAATTAAAAAATAATTTTAGTAGTCTATGTGTTCTTCCAGACTATGTTCTATATCTACGCCAAGAGGAACATGCAGTTTTGAAGATACCTTCTAACAAACATCCATCTAAAGATTTACATTTATAATGTAAATAAAATTACTTTAAATAATTACCTGACATTGGTTTGTCCTTCTCTTGAAATCATATTCATCTAATATTCCAACATTTTTCTTGTCGACTCGATTCTTGTCTTTAAATACGCCATTTACATCTACCAAATTATTTATAGCCGTTGTCTCGTCTATTATAAAATTGTAATCAATTAACTTTGAATTCAACACTTCAATATAATCGTCAACTATTTGATAGTCTCTTTTATTTCTTTTTGGTAAATCGAAATAATCAAACTCATTATCAACGCCATCTATCGACGAGAAAGTGTATTCATATACGTATGTCGTAAAATCTTCGGTTGTCATTTCAAATTCAAAATCAGTTTGATTTAATTCAGAAATCTTCGGTATTCTTTTTATTGTTATATTTGCTGTCACATATCTGTATACGTCAGGCCAATATCTAACACTGTACAACACAGATGCAATTATAAATAGCAACACGAACATAATAATTAAAATTAAAACTCTTATTATCATTTTGAAAAGACTTTGATTCATTTTTTAGGTGTTGATAAACGTAAAATCAGATTATAACTAAGTCATGTCTTGCGAACTGCGTATTGTATAGGAACATTAGGTTTGCCAAATATAGAATCTTAATGCAATTATTTGATTATAAGGATTGGATAATAATTTTAACATCTTTATGAGCCATTCTTGTAACTATTTATATTTGTCTGTCTTCAATATCAAAGGATCATACTGAAACATATTGGATTTTACGTTTTTAAACATAGATAATAGAGCGTCGATGGCTCAGAGATTAAGCTTGTAATCTGCAGGTACTAGATTTGAATCCCGTCATATTATCTCATCATCAGCTCACTATACGTCCCCACCGAGGGGCTCGGAGTCTACCCTAAGTTAAGGGTGATTAGGCCATAGTCAACCACAGGCCAAGTGCGGGTTGGTTGACTTCACACATGCATTTGACACACACATTTTCACAGATATGTGCAGGTTGCATCATGATGTTTTCCTTCACCGTAAGAACGTCGGATAAATGTACATATGTAAATCGAAAAACACATTGGTACATGGCGGGATTCTAACCCAGGACCTGCAGATTGCAAGTCAAGTGCTTAACCAATGTGTTTTTTGACTTACAACTTACATTAATCCAGCGTTTCTTACAGTGAACACATTATGATGAAACCTGACTTTATCAGTAAAGAAATTTCAAAGATATGTTTGAATTGCCGGAAGAAAAAAGCGACGACGCTGATCGCCACCCGTCACGTGCCGATAAATGCGGGCTTTACGGGCGAGGCGGATGATGGACACAGCGCTATGTAAAATCATACAAAGCAAACTAAACTCCGTTGCGGTGCGTCCGGCGCGGACCAATCGACACGTACCTTATGCAAACATAACATATTTTTTTAACCGACTTCTAATAAGAGGAGGTTCTTAATTCGTCTGTAACTCCGTCCCTAGTGGTCCGATTTTCACAATTCTTTTCTTATTCGAAAGATGTTAAGTGCCATTTGAAACACTAAAAAGTATCCAGTAGTTATTGTTCTTTAAGTATACCAATTGCGTGATTAATTAGCAAAGTTTTTTTACAATAGATGTTACATTGGTCGTAATCGTCGGATCTTGATAATTACATCTTCAGTTTATCTACTAATTACGATCTAATAATATAAAAATTCTATAAAATAGTTAGACTAGAAGATAGCAAGCGCGCTTAATTTCGCAATAATAGCGGAGAGAAGCTACTTAATAAATCCGTATTTTCGTTGTTGTCTGCCTTCAATAAATAGACACATCAAAACAGAAACAGACTATCATTATAAGTCAAGAATTTATAATTTTTTTTTTTAATATGTTTTAAAATTTAAAATCACATTAATTTATCTATCATTCCTCGAAACCCTAAAACATTAGTTTATTACGCATTTTACAGCTCTATGTATTTTATATGTCTACACTAGCTGTCGCCCGCGACTCCGTCCTCGTGGATATATAAAAAACCTAATTAGTGTAGCCCACCCATCCATCCATCCATATCACATCCATCTAAACATTCGTATTTATATTATTAGTAAATTAAATAAAAAACAACTCTTCAAGGCATAAATTCGAAAAAAATGAATAAATAGTATCCTATGTCCGTCTCCTGGCTCTAAGCTACCTCCTCACTAATTTTCAACCATATCAGTAAAGCCGTTCTTGAGTTATAAATAGTGTAACTAACACGACTTTCTTTTATATATATAGATTTAGTAATTCTATACCTAATTAGCACTAGGATCCTAATGATTGTTACTAAAATATTAGAAATAAGAATCACTAATGACTACTATTGTGTCGATGGTCGCCCATTAGTCGAAATTCAACCATAATTATAAAGATAACTATAGTAAATAACAGAGGGCGCTGTCTCCTAAAACACATTTTTTTCTAGTTCAGGAAACAGAGCCCGCCAATTTATAACCGACTTCAAAAAGAAGGAGGTCAATTCGTCTTTATATTTTTTTGTGAAAAATGATTGTTTTTTGTTCAATAAACAATTTTTACATTTAATTTTTAATGCATAATTTGATTTATCAAAATATTTTTAGCTCTTATTTAAATTCACTTTATCATTTTTTTACGTATTCCAGTGATAATAAAATTAGCTATTTCTACAATTTTACGGTCACATAGACATAGTTAAAAAAGCACATTTTATTGTCTGTCAAGATCAAGGATCTGCACTTTACCATCTAAATTATACATATCTTGTTAATAAAAATTGCATAACCTTTATCTTATATATAAAATTGTCGTGTCACAATTTACGTTCCCATTTTCCTCGGAAACGGCTTGACCGATTCTCATGAAATATTGTGAGCATATTGACTAGCTCTGAGAATCGGACATCTATTTTTAATCCCGCGCGGACGGAGACGCGGGCGACAGCTAGTTTAAATATAAGTGTTATCCACTATTCCTTTAGAACAGGAAATCCATTGCGTCGTGTACAACAAATTATTATTATAAATTAAACATATTGTTTAGGTACGCGAAGTTAGCAAAAAAAGTCATTAATCAAACAAATCGTTGATAATATATTGTCAGCAAGTATTCATCGTTTAAAAACATTAAATTTTACAAATATTGCTTAGTCGTTTCTTCGAATTCAGTCGCAATAGTATTTGAAAAAACATTCGGTTTTAACAACTATATAAAAATTAAAATTTAAAATTTTTATTATTTCTAACCTCAAAAGTGAAATGATTCAAAAATTCTAGTGTTTTATTTAATTGTGTTAAAACGATACTGTGATAAAAATGAAGAAGAGAACTTTTGCAGTTATATTTTTGATGTTAGGTAAGTATAAGTTTTAAGTTTTACGTGGTGCAAAAATTACCCATAAAATAATCAAAAACCCTTATTTTATCCGTTTGGAAAGGATTTCCTTTATTACTGGAAACTCACTCGCTATAACACTGCAAAATTCAATCGCTTAGACTTAGCAAATATTTGTAACTACAGACCAAATGACTATCACTTCTTTTTAGCAACAAGAACTTAATTTAAATTACAGAATTTTCATGTACCTATAGAAAATAATTAGCAAAGTTGCAAATTGAAATTTTTAGTCGATAATTAGGATAATATTTTCCTATTAAAATTTATTATTTTTTTGGCTTCACTGTTTTAAATATAGTATTTATTCACTTTACACTGAGATTTTACATATTAAATAAAATATCCAGTTAAATTTTAAAAGTAAATAAAGTGTTTAATACCCAAAAATAAATTAATGAAAATCTAGATTTCTACCACTGTATTATAATTTCAGGCGTTGTCAGTTGTGATGTTCAAAACAGCGAAGTTAGTAAACCAAGTGTTTTCCCATCTATAAAGAAGTATCCAACCTTCTTAGATGTCTTGAATGAAGATTTGTTGAGTCAAGAATGGGATGATAATGAGAAATCTTGTCACGATCAAATTTTAAAAATTTTAACAAATGTTCAAAATTCAACGCTATGGGCAACTTGGAGTAAGTAAATCTTAGGAAATTATTTAAAATAAAAACTACAAATTAATTCTCTTGGTGTAATAGTTGTTTTTTATTTGTTGAAATTGTTTTGTAAATTCATTGCTTTGAGGCTAAAATGTTCATAAGAGCCAATCTCTATAAAAATAAAGAAAAAAAAATGCAGGAAATATTATTTTGTAATCTCACAAGATTGTCTTGTAATTATTTCTAGTTTTACACATAACCCTAAAATAAATAACAATAAACAAAAAAAGTTTGTCGTTCAGTTGCTCTTTAAAACATAAAAAAAATTATTGTAAAGACATTCGTAGAAAATAGTCGTTAACATTCAGTACCAATTTAGTACACTTTTATACCAGACTTTATGAACTTTCGTTTTCAGTATGGGACAGTGTTCAGTTACCTTCTGGTCAGTTCTACGGTGCACATAACCATTTTGGTAACTTCGATCAATGCTTACGCAGAGTCTGGACTGACGATCCAATGCCTACGCAGTATTGTCTTGTTGACCTCAAACTTGCTGAATCTGACAAATTAATGAGCACAATACACCCTTATGATAAATCTGAAAGTTATTTTCACGTAAGTCAATTTATAACTCTACTCCCAAAAACCTTTAAGCAGTTAGCTATCGCTAGGTCCATCTGCGTTGAATTTTAAAGTAACTTTAGAAGAAGCTTATGATGTGTTCTTTAATTGTTCTACATCACAGTGGTGCTTTTTGCTTACTAATTTTTACTATTGTTAGGAAGAAAATCCGGAAATAAGCCAGTGTATTGACTCAACTCTAGCCTTACTAAAATATCGACGTCTATGTCCCCTCACTAATAATTCTGACACTAGACTTTATAAGCAAAAGCAAGTCATTCACCCCACAGGATTGTAAATAATAATACCATCTCTTTTGTTTTTTTTTTTTAAATGAATTTGTCCTTTTATATTCCAGTTAAGAAATGAATATGGTTCAACGTTCAACATCATGTCGTGGGGTTTATGTATGCCGGCGGTGTGCCAAACTGAATCCATACGTAAATTCGTACGTACTTTGTATGGGTACAGCCACATAAGTACTATTAATCCTCATCCTGATATCATATCTTTATACTGTCAGTTTGCACGGACACCGCAAGGAAATATCACTGGATTGTACACATTGTTGTAAGTATTACTATGCAATTGACTTACGAGGGTAATGTTTGTCGCGTTCACTTTGTAGAGTTTTATAAATGTAAAGCAAAAGCTCCTTATTCGCGCTTCCCTCATTCGCCGATGAAAAATTGCCCACCCAATTCCTATATTCGCCGATGTGATCAGAGGTGTTTAGACAAAGTACAGTCTCTAGTTGCGATTCCATAACGAACTTCAAAAATGTATAGAACTGACAATACCTATCGATAAGTCACGTGATTGTAGCGCGTCAGTTCCATACAATATTGTAGTTCGCTATGGAATCGCTTCGAAGCAAATGCACTTTGTTTATCACCGCCGTACATACATAATAATAAAAATAAATTCCAGTAGGTATCCAACCTAATATCCTTTTTAACCGTGTTAAATGAACTAATAAAAAAATGAAATAGATTTTATTACAACTTTGTCTAAGGTGTGTTGTTAAATGGTGTCACATTTTTTTCATCTGCGAATAATGAAAAAGCGAACGAAGGAAGCGCGAATAAGTAGCTTTTACTGTACTAATATTTATGCAGCTGACTGTACATGATTGAAAAAGGAAATGACAAATGACGAATGATACTTGTAGATCGAAAATCTGTAGTCTCCAAGTTTAATTTTTAACTAACGTACATATAAAATAATTTTATGATTTCAGATTGTCTGCAGTGGTGTTGGTCATAATAGCGTCGACTTGTACGTTCATGACAATCAAGTACAAAGACTCTAAAACAAATCGTATCGGTAAGTAATTCAAATGAAAGACAAACTTCATGTTATCAGTTGACATGTAGTCGCTATGCGCGCCGATGATTCAAGGTTAAGGCGACCATATTTACAACGACGATTTACAGTGGTAGAGCCCGCTTTAACACATTCGCACGAATTGGCCCGGCTCGCCCGGTGAAATACCACGACCACACAGAAGACAGGCGTCAAGTGGAAGCAATTCCGCGTACAGTCTGATGAGTGTGCGTCCCGGAGGCCTAATTTAGTCCTCTTTCCCTTTCCACCCTTTTTCTTATAATGAAAGGATGGGAAGTGGCAGTGGACTTTCCGGATGAGAGGATGCGTAGAAAGGGAAGATATTTTCTTTCTGTGCATCCTCTCCTCCGTCGATAAAAGGTAGGCAACGCATATATAATTGCGTATGTCTATGAGCAATTGTCACTTCGCTATTTCAGCGATTTCAGGTGGTCGCTCGCTCGTTTATCACCTTATGATATAAAAAAAAACATTGCCTTGGGTACGAAGAGCCTTATTTTATATTTTTTCTGGACTGAGTGGAAGATTGTTTGCATAAATGTGCCTCTTTCATTGAGACATCTAACCTAAATGATTTCGAATATTGAGAAGTTTCGACTCTTTTCAGTGGCTCATTAACTTACACTCAAAGAAAGAATAATTATTTATTAATCAACCCTTAACAGTTATGAAGATAGTCAGCGCATTCGACCTTAGAAAGAACGCAAGCGACCTTATGTCAGTAAGCAAAGACGAGATCAAAGTGATGCATGGAGTTAGATTTCTCACTGCATTTATGGTGGTTACCCTTCATGTCATGTTTATAAACATCATGGCTACCGCTGGCAATGGATTGGATATGAATGACGTGAGTATAAAAACCAAGCAATGGATATACTATCATGTTGTTGATATCCAAGTTATCCATCTGGATCCGTCAATGATGGATTGAATTTAAATGTAATTTTACAATGATATTGTATTTTCATAGTATAAGAAACCCGACTTATAACAACTAGACGTACTTCTAAACATTTTTACGGTCTTTTTAAGACCAGTGGTTTTGTTTAATACCAGTATGTTTAGTACTTACTATTACTTTGTCCTTCGTCTTGAAGTGCCATTGCAATTGTAGGCCGGCAGTAATTTTGCACACACTTCTATGTCTCTGCCGAGGCTGAAAAGATGGCACTACTAATTCTTTAATCATCAGCTCACTATACTTCCCCACTGAGGGGATCGGAGCCTACCCTAAGTCAGTGTCACTAGGCCGTAGTCAATCCTGGCACAGTGCGGGTTGACTTCACACATATCTTGGAATATCTTCTAAGATATGTGCAGGCCGCGTAACGATATTTTACTGTACCTTTAAACGTCGTATAAATGTACATATGTAAATCTATAAACAAATTGGTACATGGCAGAATTTGAATCCAGGACCTGCAGATTGCAAGTCAATTGTTTAAACCCTGAACCGATGTTCTTGTATTACTTCTTTATTTCTATTTATCCAATCTTCCAGGACTTCAAGCGCTATGCTGGATTCTTGTCACACTCTAGTGTTGTGGTAGACACGTACTTTATGATGTCAGGACTGTTGCTGATGAGGAGCTTCAAGCCGGAGACTGGTAGACTGATCAGTCCTATCAAACTGATAATTAAAAGATATTTCAGGTATGGCAAACAGAGTAGTAAAAATATATTTGTATTAATTCCTGACCTGGGAAACAGCTTTAGTGGTTCGATTTTTTTTTGTAATCCAGCTAATGGTCACTAAAGGAGGCACTTAGTGTAGTTTTTGCTTCCGAAAATTTACATTCAGAGAGGTTTTAAGACCATTCAATCTATTCTGGTTGTTAGTTAAAAGTGATAAGCAGCGTTAATATATGTTGCATGAATTGGAGATACGTGGAAAATGAAATCAATTCCTGTCTGATGAGAATGGAAGATACATGTTAGTCATCAACCCTTTCCTACACTTATAATGAAAAGGTTAGGGGAGTGGACATATAGAAAGAGGAAATATCCTTTAACTGTGCGACCCCCGTCTGTCGAATTAAGGTTCAATGCAGATATCTTCGGTAATTTTAGTGAAAATGTTCTTAACTTCAGGTTAGGTTTCTGTCCAAATCCCGGAAAAAACGGCCCAGCCATTCTGTAGATAGACAAAACTTTTAATTGGATTTTGTAAATATTTCTTATCAGCTTAACAAAAACATTACGTGAACGAAATAGATTTTTTTTTCTACATTGCATATAGACACTTCCATTTAGTAATATGTAAAGGTTAAAAAGGTCAAATTCAATTAACATAATTTTAAATGAGAACCAAATTCTTGAAGGATTCAGTAATTTTCCATTGTTAGTGACGGCAATAAATATCGAAGCGGATACATTTTGCATATGAATACAAACATGAATTTACTTAAATAATGATTTTATTTTTATTTTTAAGCATTTTATACTTAAAATTAGATCTTCTAGAAGTCGGATATTAGTTTTAAAAATTGTATCTTTGTTAACGGAGAGCGTCGGTGGCTCAGTGGTTAAAGCACTTGACTTGTAATCTACAGGTTCTGGGTTCGAATCCCACCATGTACCAATGTGTTTTTCGATTTCGATTTACATTTCTTCTCTGGGGGCCGCGTCCGCGAAATAATACCAGTCCCAATCATCCTGATGAAGGGTCCCCGATGGGCTCGAAACTAGTCGGTGCCGCCACCAAACGAATATACGTGAATGTTTAGCCGTTTTTATATAAGTTTATATTATTTCAGATTAATTTGGGTGTTCATAGTAATGATTCTTGTTGTTGTAACCGCTACACCTTATTTGTACGGTGGTCCTCTGTGGTCTAAATACGCTCGAGTCGAACAGGAGGCGTGCGAGAAGAATTGGTGGTTGGGTCTTCTCATGGTGGGGAATTACATTGACCCGGAAAATATTGTAAGTGTCCGATTCTACAAAGCCGTTATCCGAGCGACTTGCCGCCCTTGAAAACAAATTTAGAAGTCTCTAGTTTATGAGACACGCCTGTGCGGCATTAAAAAAAACTTAATTAGTAACCTACTTGTCCTTCCAGACTATGTTATACATTTGAGCTAAATTTCATATAAAGCTATGCAGCCGTGTCCGTCCTTATATTTTCAACGTTCTTACGCATTTTTGAAATTGAAATACACACGTTTACATATTTATGCAGCTGACTGTACATTTCTTCGAGTGAAGCTACTTTTTCAATGCTTGCAGATCAGTTAAATAAATAGATAACGAGGCAGTACAATCGAAATTCTAATAGCAATACTTCCATACTACACTGTTCTACATGTATTAATTTTAGTACTTGTCGTTTGCAGTGTATGCAAATAACATGGTACATACCAGCGGACTACCATATGGCAGTCGCCTGTACGTTGATGTACTGGTTATACCAGAAGAACAAACGCAGCGGCCTCTGTCTGTTCGGTGTGGTGACCATCGCCTCAGTTTTGTTGCCCGGAGTGTACACGTACTACCATAAATTAAGTGCTATTACTATATTTGATGTTGAGTAAGTAACAAACTTAATTTCAAAAATCTACTATACTACTAGAGATCCTCTAATGAACATCCATCCGTCCAAATATTCGTATTTATAATACTTTTCCACTAAGCGACTAGCCGCGCGACTGTTGCTGTCCATTTTTTGTCGCGTGAGTGACAATATATACACGCATTTGCACAAAACGAGTCCGCGTGCAGTCAGAATCGCGCGACTAGGCGTAAGTGGAAATAGGTTTTAAAAGTCGTATGAATTTAACTTCCCTTTTCACTAAGGTTGAACGACTGCAATTTCTTTTATTTCCAGAACAATTACAAACAGTCGTAAAGATATAACCGATTCTCCGATATATGGCTTAAGTCACTTCCGAGCTGCACCGTACTTTGTGGGACTGATCGCTGGATATATTCTGTCAATTTACAAACCGGCTAACTACAGGAATGTTATATCAACGGTAAGTTTTAACATCATGACCGATAATTATGCGTAATGTCTAAAATCATCATCAGCTCACTACACGTCCCTACTGAGGGGCTCGGAGCC